GCCGCCACAGTCATTTTTTTTTTTCTCCCCTCTATGTGTAAGGACTTTCTACTTTTGCTTTCACAAAATAGGATTTTGAAAATTTCAAACTTGCAAATAGGAAAAACAATTTACCAAAATTAAAAACAAACAAAACCCAATCCAAATCCTGACTTCACATAAAAGCATTATCCAAATAAAATCTTTAAAACATTAAATTAAATTTTTAAAAAATTAAAAATAGCTGATGTCACTAAGTATTCGTGAAGTACTTCATCTGCCCATTCTGCTGGGGAAGTCTTCATACTCTTGGGACAGACATCCCCCCAACTCACCGATGGGTTTGAGGCCCCTCAGTCACTCTCAGCCTGGTTTAGCCTGTCTGCTGAGGTTTTTGCCACAGTGTGGCCACTACACTACCACAGCTTCTTGGAGCCACAGATGAGAGTTGGGTGGCAGGTAGACACCAAGGGTGGATGAGCAAGCCTGAGAAGGGCCTCGCAAGTCCTCCCGCCAGAGGCACTGGTTCTCCCTGAATGGCCACGAAGGCCGGTGAAGCCGGCAATGCGGAGCACTTCAAGACTGGTCAGACATCAAAGACAACCGGGTCATTCACTGCACCCTGGGTCATCACCAGTCGTCTTGAGTTTTGTCTTGCCACTGGACTTTGATGACTCTGGAAGAGAGAGCGAGACTGATAACTTAGGGCAACTCTGCCTCACTTCAATCCAATTCACAAGCAACTCAAGACATCACCCAGGATGTCACTGCTCATCTTTGAAAATGGAGGATAGGGGCAGCTAGATGGCACAGTGGATAAAGCCTCCGGCCTTGGAGTCAGGAGATCCTGAGTTCAAATGAGACCTCAGACACTTGAAACTTACTAGCTATGTGACCCTGGGCAGGTCATTCAACCTCAATTGCCTCACCAAAAAGCAAAAAAAAAAAAAAGATAAACAATGAGCAAGCACCCACTATGTGCAGGGCACTGTGCCAAGCACTGAGGATACAAAGAAAGGAAAAAAGACAGTCACCTGCCTTCTAGGAGCTCACAAATCTAAAGGAGGGGACAACACATTAAAAAGAGGAGGAGAAGCTGAGGAGAAGGAGGTGGTGAAATCCAGGGGAGCGGCCAGGTGGGAAATGATGAGATGGCTGCCCTGGGTCCTCTCCTTAAATGGAGGATGTGGGGGAGCTCTCCAGAGGGTGGGAGGGGCCCCAGAAGCGGGGGATGCTGGGGAGGCGTGAGCTTCTGAGTTAATGTGATCTTTAGGTATCGCTTTAAGGTTTGCAAAGCACTTTACACAAGGTAACTTTTGGTCAATTGATCAACAGCATTTATTAAGCACCTACTATGTGCTAGGGATACAAGCACGGAAAGGAACAGTCCAAGCCCTCAAGAAGCTAACATTCTATTAAGAAATTTACATTACATTGGAGGGGGACCGCTATACTCCCTGAATTTTTTATTTCCCCACTACTCAGTAGCTTTTGTAAAAATGTATACATAATATGAAAGGGTGCAGCCATGCTGGGAGGGTTGGGTTGGGTTGATCAGAGAGCTCCTGACCAAGTCCTCTATCCAAGGACGCAAAGGGCAAGAAACAGAGACAATGAGACGTCGTCGCCTTTCCAACTTTGGCCAGGGTAAAGGAAATCATGAACAAGTTCCTTGATCGAATTTCAAGAGGGCTGGCCCTTGCCTGGCCAGACTGATCTCAGAAAGCAATCCCAAAATCTTCAAAAAGCATCTGAGTCCTGGCAGTGAAGAAGAGAACAGCTTGGAAGAGTCCTGAGCTCACTCTTCACTTTTTCCTAAAGGCCTCTTTTTTTTTTTAAGTAATCTTTTCTGGTGAGGCAATTGGGGTTAAGTAACTTGCCCAGGGTCACACAGCTTAGTAAGTGTTATGTGTCTGAGGCTGGATTTGAACTCAGGTCTTCCTGACTCCAAGTGGATGGAGCACTGGGCCACCTAGCTGCCCCCTAACCTAAAGACCTCTTACAGACTATAGCTTGGGGTGGGGGGGGGAGAGGGGATATCTCTGCCCTCCCGCCTTACTTGGTAATGTTGCTTTGCAGCAGAAGTCCATGAGCTTGTCACGATGCCCTCCACTCCCACCCCAAGAGAATGAGAGAGATTTAATTTAAAAGAGAAACAGTTTGCTGAGGAAGCTACAGGGAGAATCAGACACTTTGGAGCTAGGATCCTGCTTGGGAGATGGGAGGGCCCTAAGCTAAGACTTCTCCTGTTCTTAGGGTGTGGGCTCCAAATTCTCTCTGAAAATACAAAGCAATTCTCTAAGGCCAGGATGTTGGCTGAAGCCTGGAAACCCCGCTGTGGGAAGTGGTGGTGATTACGAACCAGGGGAGGGTCAGTGGGAGAAGTGGAGGACATCAGAAGTTCACCATCCCTACTTGACCACATTGGTGTGTCTCCACACTTACAACTCTATGGGCACTCATCTTTCCACTGACACTGTGTGTATTCATGAGAACAAACCCCCAGGTTTGGATTGTTCGTACTCTCGTGCTGTTACTTTAATAAATTACCCTTGCCTTGGCCTTTCTGTATCTTCTGGCTGACCAGAGTGAAGGTAAAAGCACTATAGAGCCCCTCGGTGTAATTTATCCCTGGGGTAATCATGCTTCAGGTAACCAAGCCTGGAAAGGGTAGAATTAGCTGAGAGTGCCCTACAAATAAAACAGCCTTTTCCTAGACTCAGATATCATTATCTTTTCATATTGGGGGGAAAAAAGTGACTTTCTATTTACAAATAAGCCTTAAGGTTTTCCTCATGTTCTGAAGGTGGGGTTCGTAAACTTGTTTTCAAAAATATTTTGATCACTGCATTTCGATAGAATTAATTTCCTTTGTAATCCTATTTTATTTTATGCATTTACAAACGTGATTCTGAGAAGGGGCCCATGGATCTCACCAGATGGCCAACAAGGTCAGACTCAAATAAGATAAGCAAGTTCTGCTTTAGAATAAGATCTATATTAAAATCCACCACGTTAAGGAAAGCAATGCCACGTTAAAGCTGCCAGGATGGGTTTTCCACGGGGAAGAAATCAGCATGGATATATCTTAACGGTCCAGAAGATGTGTGGGAATTACTAGGAGGTTTTTTTTAGACCTTCAAAATATAAGAAATGAGTTTGGGTGTATTCAGTGTGCTCTTTTGGTGGAGTGCAACCAAGCTGTCTACATTAAATCCAAATACACTTGAATTTCATGAGTAAAGAAGCTAAGAATCAATGTTGGTTTTGAGTCCTTAACTGCACTGTGTCCAGCACAAGTCTCTTGAATGAGTCTGGGCCAGCTCCAAAAACGTCACCATGTCCTCTATCTTTCTTCCCCTGGAATTAGCACATCCCTTCAATCCCTTTGGGGATGTGCTGGTAAATGTTTAACAAGCAGCTACCAACACAGAAGTAAGCAGAAGGGGCAGTTAGGTGGCGCAGTGGATAGAGCACCAGCCCTGGATTCAGGAGGACCTGAGTTCAAATCCGGCCTCAGACACATGACACTTACTGGCTGTGTGACCCTGGGCAAGTCACTTAACCCCATTGCCTAACCAAACACCCCCCCCAAAAAAAAGAAGTAAGCAGAATACACTTTGAGGCTTCATCTTCCGTCTTCTAACATTCTCTCCATCAATTCCATCAGCCTGGACAATCCACAAAACAGTAAGTCAAGTTCAGATTTGTAGCTGAGCTGTCAGTGCTAATACTAAAAACTTAAAAGCACTCTCCAGAGCAGGCTCCAGCTGGCTCTGACACATTCCTAGATGTCTCCTACTCAACTTCACCTGGGAAACTGTGCCCACTCCATGGGCAGTGGAGACTAAGAATGCAGCTCAGCACTTGAATGAAATGGGCAAAATGGACATTTTTCAGAGGGCCAAAATTTAGCATTCCCCACAAGGGGTGATGTGTGATCTTTACACACTGATTACCTCCTCTCCACTTCCCTCCACCCCACCCTGCAGTAATGGATTAACTCAGGAACTGCTCCCTCTACCACGACTATCTTAAACTAGTCCTTTTTTGATGACTCGGTTTTCTTTTCCCCAATGACCCAGGAGAAAGGCCTCACTTTGGTGCCAGGCTAACTCTCGTCTGCATCTTTGTTAGCAGATATAAGGGGTAGTTGGAGCTTTGAGATTCACATCAGTCCAGACCACCAGAGAGGCCCTGAAGTCAGTCTCCCAGCAAGCAATGAAAGCATTTATTAAGAATTGACTACGTGCAAATGAGATTAGGAGCACAAACATGGATTTGTAAAATCTCTGCGTCGAAAAGTGAGTTCTTTTTACACCAGTGGTGTGGAGAGAAAGGGGGCCAACAGCAGAGGGCCACAGACCGAGCCTTGGAGGACCAAGCAAGAACAGAGGGGCCCATGAAGAAGGCAGAGACGGATCAGAGATCAGGGGAACGGCAGATGTGAGGCCCAAGCAGGTTCGAGAAGACGATCCCCAAAGCTCAAGGCAATTAGGAAGCAGCTGGGCCTGGCTTCAGGAGACCTGCGTTTGAATCCTGACTCAGGCACTTCGGTGTCATCGTGGGCAAGTCTGAGCTGCCAAATGAGGCATCTCACTTGTGTTCCCAATTTTACAGGGTTCTTCTGAGGGAATAATGTGCAAACCTCAAAGCCCTATGGCACAGAGGTTTTATTAGTATCAGCAGTGGGAAGCCAATGGACCTGATGACGATAGAAACAGAGCAGATGTGGGGGACGGCAGAATCTAGGTGTATCAGACAACGACCAGGGGCTCCAAAATGACGGAGGGACGAGGAAGCAGGAATACCACCTAGGCTACAATAGTGACGCAAGACTGGAGGGCAGGGCAGGTCACACATCCTAGAGGTCACCTACCATACACGGCCAAGAAGGGTTCTATACAACCTCCCAAGTCCAGATTCGGCTGACGGTCAGTTTACTTGTGGGGGCACGTGGCTCAGGACTGGGGACTGAGGACACCCCTACCTTTCCCAATAATGTTACCAGACATTAACAATTCAATTCTTAGAAATTATTTTGCTTTTAATCAAATTTACAATTCATTCAAGATTAGTAGATGTTAAGCTTTTGATGTGAACCTGAGAGGAATAGCTACCAGGCTGGATGACAGATGGCCGGGATCCCAAAAGATCCAGATCCTAGTCTGCCACTAACGAGATAAAATCCAACAGAGACCAACGTGAAGGACTGAATTCAGGTTTACATGTGCTGAACTGCCCAACAACGGTTCATGGGGAAGGCCATGAGGTTTGAGTTAGGTCGACAACTGAGACGGTGTGCTACAAAGACTCCCAAAGGCTAACGCCCAAAAGACTCTGCATCAGTCCGATCATGTTTAAATACATCTCGTGACAAGAGAGAGGCTGAAGCAAGCAGGATGGCCAGGGCCTGGTGGAGTCTTCTACTGCACGAAGGGCAGCCATGTGACAGAGGGACTCGGGTTTTCTGATCAACTGGAGGGAGGAGCTGGGACTAACAGGCCTATTACCCAGAGGCACTTTGGGGGCAGGTAGGCAGTTCTTCACTGGAGGTGTCCCCAGACATCAAGTGGCTGCCTCAGGGAGAGACGCCTTCGAGAAGCCCTCCATCTTAGATCAGGGGTCTGAGCTGGTTCATCCCTAAAATGTGGCTGTGGGCAGGGGGTCCCTTCTCATGATGCTGGCTTGAGGGTTCCTTGCACTCAACTAGGTGCCCCCCAGGTTCTATTTAGAGTTCCTGGGAGTCTGAGCGCAGCCAACAGCCGCTCTGACATCCTTTGGGAACGAGCAAGCCTGAGCAACACCAGAGAGCCTCCGTGGCCGGGCCTAGGGCCTGCTAGCAACTGTATGGAGGACTGGCCATTTGGAGGACCCAGCGTTCAGCTATGCTTCTACAAAGACCCCAAAGGGCTTGGAGGCGAGCCTGGAGGAGCCCCAGCATTCACAGGAGTACGAGGCCTCCCATATGGTCTCCAAAGGCCAGCTATTCATCTTCCTGCCCAACCTGTGTGTGCCTCTGTCTGGCAGCTCAAGGTAACGCTGCGTCTGAGGGAGGTCTCCTGCAGCCCAAGCAGTAACGCCCTGGAACGACCAATCCCACTGAGCTGCGCCTGCTCCCCAGGCAGCTCAAGGAGAAGGACCCTGCTGCACTGGGAGGGCTCTAAACCTACACTCGTGTGTGGTGTGCACCTCCCTGCATCTTGCCTTACTTGTCTGTAAAATGGGGACAACCACACAGCAACCTACCTCACAGGGTTGTTTCTGGGGAAAGTGTGAAAGAAAGGCAAATCGCTGACTAGTTCACTCTGAATGGAGAGGAATCGTGTTTGTGAGGCTTCTACCTCTGCTGGAGGCTCCCCGATGGGGAACTGCCAGGCTGCTCCTTACACTGAGCCTCATCTACCTCTGCCATTGAAATCCGTTCTCTGGGGCTGCCTCTCTCCACAAAGTGACTCAATCCCACTTCCCCAGGACCCCCTGTCCAATGCTTGAAGACTATTCCATGTCTGCCCCGGGTCTTAGACTCTGAAGGTCCTTCCACCAATCCCCATGCTGTCATGGTGGCTGGGTGGGTGGAGGGGTCCTGCCCGTCCCTGCTGCAGCCTTCTAAGTACCAAGGTACTGAGGAAGAGGCTGGGTATGGACTCTCCCCGGGTCAGAGGAGCCCCACCAGCCCTCCACCCCACCCTCCCACTAAGCACTCCCTGACACAGCCTCATCCTACCATCCCCCTTCTCCTTCCAGGTGTGGGGCCCAGGAGAAGGCGCCCATACCCTACTCCTCGCTGACAAGAAGGCCAGGAGGGACAGGGGGCCTAGGCTGCCTGGTGGGGGGTAGGGGTGGGGGCTCCTGAGAAGTTTTGTACAGGAACTGAGAATCAGAGACTCCTGCTCAAGGTCAGCCAGAAGGCGAGGGAGCCAAAGGGAGTCGGGGACTGGTCAGCTCTCATCCCCAGCTCACCCCACACCCCACTTGGGGGTCAGGCTTCATAGCCCTGAGCAACAAACATGACTTTTTTAAAGGAAAAGAGGCTTTTTCTCCTTTCTGGAAAATGTGTCTAAAGGGGAAGGAGGGACTGAAGGCCTGCTCCTTTCTGATTCAAGGTCAGGGCTGGTTCAAGCCCGAGGGGAGAAACTGGCTTCCTTCCTGGGCATCTGGGCCCAGTATCCTCTTTGACATCCTCAGTGACTGACCCCCTTAAAGGGTCAGGCCCTGGAGCTTCAGGAGACCCTCCCAGGAAAGCTGACACAGGGCATCAGGGAGGCGGGGGAGGTGGGGCAGCCTCAGGATTCCTGCATGGAGGCTGCTATGGTCTGCTCCCCCTCCCCTTCTGACTTCACTCACAGAGGACAAGGCCACACAGAAGGCCCTGGGACCCCTAGCTGAGTGACGGGTGGCAGCCAGGTGCCTTGACGGGAACATCTGCTTCACAATGCGACATCGGGTCCCTGACTCCTTGCACCATGGGGACATAACTTGACACCCTGCCCCAGCTGACCAGCCAAGGAGGTGGGGGGCTTAGCCTGCGAGGACAGAAGAGGAAGGGTTAGGAGTCAGGCCTAGAGAGGGTAAAAATGCAGGAAATCAGAGGATTTGGAGGTGGAAGGGACCTCAGACACCATTGAAACCAACCCCCTCATTTTTCAGACAAGAAGACCCAGGCCCCAAAGGTAACATCTGAACTCATTTCCTTTGGGAATGCTCTGGGATGCTCCCTAGGCCCCACTAACACAGCCAGGCCAAGGCACCCATCCCTCCTCCCCATCTCCCTCATCTTTTCAAGTGTGGGGGTAGCCCGGATGTATCTGAGGCCCGGGCCTCCAGAGGACGGCCTCCCTTCTGCACCCCTCCCCCACTCCTTGGGGCTCAGGCTCTTACTCAAATCTCTGGCCTCATGTCGACCTAGGGCCTGGTCAGTGCTGGCTTTTCTTGGCTGCTGGCCGTGCCTTGGTCGTGATCCTTTTCCCTTCAAATACAGTGAAAACAGACAGAGCTCTGGGGTCAGTCATAGTGGCCTTTAAGTGACTGAGACCCTCACCCACATACGACGCCAGAGTCTCATTCTCTGGAAGAGCGACTGTCACACATGGCAGAGGCCTGAACCAGCCTCTGCTCGCCTCCTCTTCTGGCACCCCCAACTCCACCAGCCTGGGCCTGCCTCACCTTCCCTCCCCATCTCTCCTGTGCCTCTGATGCCCCCTGCTCTTGCCCCACCCCCAGCCCGTCAGCCCTGATGAACGTGTCTGCTCTTCAAGGCAGACACAGAAATATGCCAGCGGGGTTTCCTGCCGTTCCAGGACTTTCATTTAAAAGCTGCCAGACGAGGACTTCTCTATAGGCGTGGCTCTAATTCCCAGCTCTGGGATATTCCCAAGGGATGGTTACTGATTCTCTAGAAGCGAGGGCAGTGCTTACTACGAAGAGCCACCACACACCAGCCGGGCCATGCTGGGAGGAGGATAAATGTGAACTGGGATTTAGCAAACCACGTGGCAAAGGCTTCTCCTGCCCTTCTACGAAGAAGCCGTGGGCCAGACCACAGGCTGGGCAGGCAGGTGCTGAGCCAAATGAGGGGCCCTGGGGTCCCAAGGGAAGGCCTTGTGCTGCCTAAAAAGCTCCAGTAAAGCGCAGCTAGGAGCCTGGTCCAATCTCAAGGAAGAGAGGCCAGGATGAGTTCATCCGGATGAAAGACCAGGAGTAAAGACCAAGTCTTACACCTGGGTACCCGGACGAAGAGGGGAAAGTCCGGGTAGACACCTGCAGCTCCTCTGCCCAGCACCCCCACACTTCTGGGGCCCTCAAGCTCAATGAACCAAGATTGAGAGAAGGTGCCAGGAAAGGCAAAGAGACCTTGGCCCGGAGGGGCCCTCTGCCTCGCTCAGGCTCCGTCTGGAGCACTGGCCTCCACCCTGGCCTCCATATTTGAGGAAGGACACTGATAAGTCGGAAAGCGACCAGAGAGGGGAAGGCCTTGAGGCCAGAGACATCACACCTTACCAAGGTCAGCTCAAGGAACTGAGGAGAAGAAGATGGAGGAAGAAGAGAACACTAAAAGCGTAAAGAAGACAAATTAACCCTGGTCTGCCTGCCTCAGAGGCTACAGCTAGGCCAATGAGGAGAGGTGGCAAAGAGGCAACTCGGGCCTGACCCAAGGAAAAAGTGACCACTGCCCATGGCAGAGACCCATGGGGAGAGCCACAAAGTTGCTGGGGCTGTCCAGGAGACAGGACCTCTGCACACACACCACCCCCCAGCCAAGGCCAAACGGCCATTAGCGAGGAATGTGGTAGGGTCAGACCAGACAGCCTCCGTGGGGCCCTTCAGGTCTGACGGTTGGCATCCTTCTATCACTCAGGGCAACAAGAGGACGGGGCAGGCGGACTCTGGGCCGAAGGCTGAGCGTCTCAGAGCCGAGCATGCCGTGCATCCATCCCGGGCCCTGCCCAGGCAGCAAGGGCCGGCTCTCCACCTAGCTGAACCACACCTGCCCAGCAGGAACAGCTGCCCCAAAGCCCCCATCACTTACTCTTCTTCCCAAAGGGCTTTTTCTTTTTCCTCATGACTTCCTTGGTCTGCTGGGGAGCTGTGGACTCTGTCACCAAAAGACAAGGAGGGAAGAATTAGGGAGAGGGCTCCAAGCAACCCCCAACCCACTGACACTCAGGAAACCCTGGCTAAAGGACAGAGAGGGAGGCCTCACGACTACTTCTCTGCCCCCCCCCCCGCCATGGTCTGGGTCACCGCGGAGGAGGCTCAGGTCTCTGCGGGCTGTGATGTTAGTGCCTGGGGGGCAGGGATGGGGACATCTCAGTGTTTGTGCCTCCGTACTGGCACTGGTGGGGGGAGGTGCTCAGCGAATGCCTGCTGCCCTGAAGTGGGGACCATGGAAACAACGATTCCCTCCACTGATGGAGCACCCCCCACATTCAGAGCAGGCAAAGACCTCAGAGATGATCTGTCTTAACCTCATTTTACAGATGAGGAAACTGAGGCCAGAGCAGGAGAGCAACTTGCAAAGTGAAGTCATGGCCCTAACAGGATGCTGAGCCAGGATTTGAACTCAGGTTGCCGAAGCCCAATCCGAGGCACCCACCAGACACGCACCTTAACTCTCCAAAAGTCTGGGACACGGACAGCTCAAGCGTGACGATCACATTGTACACATAAAGAAACAGAGGCTCAGGGGTGTAGCCTTCGCTTCACTGGTCATCTCAACCAGTGACAGCTGGTCACTGCAAAAATAGCCCTGCTCCCACAGGCTCCCCAGGGTGACCACAGCGGGGATCAGGAAGTGTGCCTCGGACACGCACTGCCTAGGAGATAAGGCCCTTCACCCCTGAGCCTGCTTCCTCATCTACAAAGTGGTCTAACAGTCCCCAGTAATGGCACCTCATAGACTTTGGAGGTCCCAAGGAAGAAGTGTCTGTCAATCACATCAGGATGTGTGACCTTGGGGGAGTCACCCTACTTCCCCAACACTGTTTCCTCAGCTGTAAAAATGGGGCACTGGATCAGATGCTGACCGACAAGTCCATGCACAGCAGGGGTACGTGACTGGCAGTTTGGGGCACAACAGAGGCAGTGCAGCCTCATCTATAAGAAGATCTGGGTTCAAGTCCTGACTCTCCCAAGGCCGGGCAGGGGCTTGGGGCCTGTCTAGAGTGCTCTGGTGGGGCTGCCTCAGCGGAGGAGGGGTCTTGGGGCGGGGGGCTTCCCAGGCCTGCCTGTCTTGACCTGAAGGAGGGCCCAGCATGCTCTTTGTGCTCATGCCTGGAGCCCTAGAGGGGCAAGGGGAGGGGCAGGAGAGCTCACCCTCACGGCCCACCCTGGAAGAGAAGCCTGTGTGGCGACGCCCCGGGGACAGACCTGCAGCCACCGGGGGCTGGAGCTGGTAGCCGATCAGCTCGCACCAGCCCACGGCATAGATGTCGGGTGACTCACAGTCCACCCACTGGTCATACTCGCTGTCCCAGCCGTCAAAGTGAATGCTGAGCAGCCGCTGCACCACCCGCTTCACCGTGGCCACACAGATGAGTCGTGGCTCCATCAGGTCCACAGCCTCCAGCTTCATGCCCGCCTTGAAGCCGTGGTTGGGGCAGTCCTGGGAGGGCGGGGAGGAAGAGGGGCTGGTTCCGAGGGCGCTGGCGGGGAGCCTGCTCGGGATCTGGGCCATGCCCTCCCCCGGGGGTCAGCACAGGTAACACATCCCAGGGACCGGGGAACCTGATTCTGAGATGCCCTGGCTGAGGCACCTCCCCTACACCATCCCATACTCTATCCCGGCAGAGACATTTCCCTAACCTCTCTGGGGAAGGGAGCCGGGATAGTTGGGGCTCCTCCCTTGCCCTTGGGAGAGGCAGGGGCCTTGTAACAAAGGAGAATCGGCCATGAGCTGGCATCCACCCCAAAGCTGCAGCCAGTATGGCCCCAGCAGAAGGATGGCTTGTGAGGGCCCAAGGGACCCGAACATTGGACTGCCATCTGGCACATGGCAGGTGGGGCCCTGGGTCCCAGCCCACGGTCTCTGCCAGGAGCGCCGACCCTGCCCAAACCCAGGGTCTCTTCACCATGTTGAAGAGCCGAGCAGGAGCAGCCTTTGAGTTGGTCTCTTCGAGGTACAAGGTCCAGTCAAAGGTCTTGGCATCGTAACCTGGAGGGGAGGGCAGGGAAATGAGTCACCGGCGTCATTCCACCTACTTGGGAGGGCTCTAGGGGCAGCAGGGTCAGGAAGGCCTGAGGGTGAGCCTAGGGGGAAGACGTGGGCACCTACCACCTCAGGATTTCCAGGCCCCGGGGCTCTCATGCAGAAGACCAGACTTGCTTTGCCCGGCACCAGTGGGCACAGAACAGATGGGGCAGCAGTCCTATCAGTGTGGGTATTCCCTCCCATGTTGCAGCCTGCCCCCCGCACCCCATCTGCGCCTCCTCCTCCCCTCAAGTTGACAGGCCCGACATTCTTGGTGGGATCATCCCGGGGCCTCCACGCCCAGCCTTACCTTTGGGAGGCGTAAGGTCGATGGAGTTCTTCTGGCAAAAGGTGGCTGGGAAGATGGCGTGTGATGAAGCATGGTAACAGAACCAGTCTGAGCCGTCCACGGAGGTGGAGCCGTCAATGCAGATCATCAGGTAGCCATCCAGGAGAACCTCCAGAGAGGAAGGAGAGGCTCCTGTCAGAATGACCCACCCACGGGGCAGCCCCCCACCAGAAACACCAGTGGCCACTCCCACGAGGGAAGCCATACCTGACAGAGACAAGGGCAGCCCACCCTCCTACGTCACCCGGACCAGGAGCTAAAGCCCCGGGGGTCACAGAGAGGATGTAGGACCCCTGGTAACCACAGTGGGCAAAGACTGCTGACGTTTCAGCTAGCTGGTACCTCCAGCTGACATCTCCCTACACCCTAAGAAGGAGCCATCAGAAATTTACAGTCCAACAGAGAAAAACAGGCCAGATACACGTCAACACTCCCCAAGTCTGGCCAGAGGACCGCCCAAGGGCTCTTAAGCTGGAAGGCTGAGCCCTTCCAGCTCAATATCCTCATTTTACAGATAGATACTGAGGCCTGAGGAGTGCTGGGAGGTGCCAGTTACCTGGCTAAAGGGGTGCCGAGTCTACAGCCCCGAAGTCTGTGCTCTGGTGCCAGCCCTGCACTGTCAGAGGCCGCGCCTTGGGAGCCCCTCAGGCCTGGAGCCACGGAGGGGGCTGGCCTCGGCTCACCTTGCAGACAGTGGCTACACAGATGTTACCCAGGTTCAGTGGGTCGATGGCCTCCAGCTTCATCCCTTCTTCAAACCAGCCTCCTTCTGTGTAGACAGCTCGCACCTTGGGGAGAGAGACGGGCACCAAGTCACGGGCACGGGTCACTGCTGGCCAACAGCCAGCGGCAGGCATCCTCTGCCTGGGCCCAGGGGAAGAAAACAGGGCAGCCAGAAGCTAGAGGGAACAGAAGGAAAAGGGGCAGCCCCGAAAGGAGATGGGGCCCTTGGGGTGTGGAAGAGACCCTGGCACGGGAGAGATCCAGAGCCAGGAGGGACCTGAGAGGCCAAAGGCCCCCACCCATGCAGTCCCCAAGAGCCTGGGCTGCTCACCTTCTTGAAGAGGTAGGAAACGGCATCACAGTAGATCTTGCGAAAGGTTGGGTGGCTGCTAATTTCCCCTCGCCTCTCTGCAGAGGAGAAAGATGGAAGGGAATGGGGGAGGGCAGCCTGGGTACAGGTACTGCGGGCAGGCAGGGCCCTCCCTCCCACTCTGCCCACACCTGGCTTCTTGATGCTGTGGCCAACTCTGCGGGACCAGCCCACGGGATGGATGAGGGGACTCCACATGTGGCACCAGAAATCATCATCACCGTCGCCATCCTCATAGAGCAGCCGCAGCCGCCCCCCGATCACCGTGTCCACCACAGCCATGCGTGTCCTGGACACGTGGGTCTTGTCTACCACCTCCACTCGCATCCCCTGACGGAAGGGGTACTTCATGCTTTCCGCCATCTGTGAAGAACCAGGCTGTGAGGGCTCAGGGGGTGGGGCACACCAGCCCAAGACCCTGAGGAAGCAGGGGTGGTGCAGGGGGAGGCAAACCAGACCAGTCTTGGAGGGTCAGGACAGGAGCCTCAGGCAAGAGGCATTGGGGCTGGGCCCTCCTCTCCCTCTAAGGAGCTGTGTGACCTTGGAGAAGCCACGCGATGCAAGGGGGGCATTGCCATGGCCCTCCACGGTCAACCACATGCTCCCCCCTTGGCTCCCAAGTCCTGGGGCCAGGAATCCTCACCGGGAGGCAGCGGCTGGACGGCACCCGGAATCAGGGCACCCGCCTCCAGTACCTCGTGGGGCCCGGACCCAGGCCTCTACTTTACAAAGCTGAGACTCACAGGAGGAAAGACAGTCACTGCCTTCCATCACAAGGGAAGAAGGGGCCAGGGCGAGAGAGACCAGCCAGGAAGGGAGTCTCGGGCAGACCTGAGGCTGTGCTTCTAACGTAGCCGCTCTGGACTTTGCACCAGGCCCACCGGGCCCTCCTGCTTTCTCCCTTGTGGGGTGGCAACAGCAATCGATGCCATCACTGCTTCTGCATGCTGCCCAACAATGTACACCCCCATCCTTTAGACTGCCTTCCCCAACACCAAGACTCCCCAACATGTGTGGTTTTCCCCATTACTATGTAGGTTCCTTAAGTAAAGGGACTGTCTCACCTAAGATTTTGTAGTCCCCAAACCTAGGCCTGTGCCTAGCACATAACTAACAAATGCTTTTTTTTTCATTCATTCATTCATTCATTCATTCACAGTGCTCTTACCACTGCCCCACACTACCTTTCCCCTTGGGCCTCAGTTTCCTCATATCTAAAAAGCAGGCTAGCCTAAATCGCCTTGGGCTCCTAGCTCTCGCAGTACTGAATGAGAGGGTGAGAGGGGACCCACTCCGCCAGAGCGCACAGCCCACTTCTCTTTCCTGGAAGTCCTCTCTGGGGCCTCCTGGGGATCTCAAGCTAGCCACCCCTGTTATCTCTTCCCTCCAGGTCTGACCGTTTGTCTCCCAGACGATCTCCCTGACAAAGTCCACGTTTGGCTTCCTCCACACTACCAGGACAAAGGAGAAGGCAGTTATTGCTGGGGACCAAACACTGTGCCTGGCTGACAGCCCCCACCTCTGGCCCATCACAGGCCTAAGAGGTTTCCTTCTCTGGGCCTCAGTTTCCTCATCTGTAAAATGAGGGAGTCAGGTACAGGATGCCCACACAGGAACCCTGCCAACTGATGCTCCCTGTTCCCAATCCCGATTCCACCCCTCACCCCCTCCCACGACCTCCAGGGGCTTGGGACGCTCACACGGGACTCCTCACCTGGGTTCTGGGACCTTGTCTTCTTCCCGTCTGGGTTCCCCTATCACGACACCCTACTTTATTCAACGCATTAAAAACATAAAACCAAGGGGCAGTCAGATGGTCCAGCGGGCAGAGCACTGAGCCTGGAGTCAGGAAGACCGAAGGTAAAACCTGGCCTCAGATACTTAGTAGATGTGTGACCCTGGGCAAGTCACTTAACCCCTACCCGACTCAGTTTCCTTATCTGTAAAATGGGGCTACTACCAGCACCCATGTCCCTGAGTTGTTGGGAGGACCAAATGAGCCAACGGCAAGGGAGTGAGCACGGTGCCTGGCACAGAGCAGCTACCGCACAAATGGGTGCTAGCAGTAGTAGTATCTGAGAAGGGGTCTCTAGGCTTCACTAATCTGGCTGCCAAAGGGGTCCATGAGGAAAAAAAAGGTCCTGGACCCCTGCTGTAAGGTGCCTTCCATACACTCTGTGTGCAGATTTTAATAATAATAATCATTAGCATTTATATATCACTTTACACATATTAAGTTAGCTCAAACTGATTATCCCCATTTTACAGATGAGAAAACTAAGGCTGGTTATGTGACTTCTCTGGAATTACAGAGCTACAAAGTATCTGCAGCAGGATTTGAATTCAAGTCTTCCTGACCCCAAGTCCCACACTCTATCCACTGCATCTTCTACCCCAACTAGAAGGTAAATTTCTTGGGTGCAGGGGCTATTTCTGCCTTTCTTTGGATTTCCTGTGCTTGCCACACGGTAGGCTCTTACCGTCTGACTCATGTACCCACTGATGAAGCCTGCAGCGGGAGAAGCTGAGGCCCAGATGGGTTACTGGTCCCAAGTCCCAGGTCCCTGAGTGGCAGGGCTGGGATCTGCACCCAACTGGATGCTCTTCTCACCAGGTGCAAGCCCTAGCCACTCTCATCCGGGGCCCTCGTGCTTTCCCAGGACAGAACACGAAGCGTCTTCTGTTTTTCACTTTCACTCATCTGAACCTCACACCAACATTCTGAAGGTAAGATGAGCAGGCATTACTAGCCCCTTCTGACAGAAACTGAGGCACAGAGAAGGCAAGGGGCTGGCTGAAGGTTACCCAGGCCCGATGCCTTGGCCCGAGCTCCTGCCTCGAGACGGTGAGGCCCCAAAGGGACAGACCTGCTCCCTCGTCACTCCTGACAAGCACCTGGAGGGAGGAGGGCAGGGCTCTACAGGACCGGCTCTGCATCGCAGTGCCTCGATAACCCTCGGTGACGGAGCGGGTGTCTCAGCATCTCCAGCAGCCGTCGCCCCACTCTGCCTCACAGAACGCTTACCAGAGGCCCAGGCAGAGCCATGGGGAGGGGTAGGCGGTTCGGCCGGGGAGGGCTCCGCAGAGGCAGTCAACTTCACTGAGGCCACTGGGGGTCTCGCTTACTGTTTTCTTAACTAGCAGGCCCCACAGAGGATGTGAAAGATTTATTCTTCTAAGCAGGATGGGGCAACTTTAACTTCAGGCCCTAAAACTTCCTAACGTACATGCAGTTTAGAAAGCTTTTCGGTTGTTCGATTCCTCATTTCTGGGTCACTTTTCTAGGGAGAGTTGTCCACAGACTGACTCTTCAAGAATTACAAGCTCTGACCTGGGCCAAGTCCCTGTACCGTGGAGCCTCAGTTTTGCTACCTGTAAAATGGAGGGGCTGCAAGCAGAGCAGTGTGTGTGGAGAGCCTGGATTTGGAGGCAGCCTTCACTAAGGCACCCCTCCCCTTGGAGTGGGAACCCCAAGGTCCCTCCATTCCCGCTTTGACATTCCACGCTCCAGCCTTCTCATTTCTCTGGCAGGGTTCAGATGCCATCTTGGATAAGGCACTTACTGCCTGGGGGGAGGCAGGGCTAGCGTAGAGCTGGGAAGCTTTTTACTTACTTGAGGCTAATTACAGATGAGAAACTGAGGCTCAGAAGTCAGATGGCTTCCCAAGGGCATCCAGGCCCAGGGGCTACCTCCCGCATGAAGTCTTCCCTGACTCCCCCACCCTCCTCTTGCTGGGGCCTCCACCACCAAAAAAGTGCACTAAGCATTTACTGAATATACGTCTGTGTAGTTACTATTATCATCCCTGCCAGAATGCCAGCTTCTTCACTGAGAGCAGGGAAGGTTCTTCTTGTGAGGCCAGTGCCCATCGGGCACAGTGCCTGGCACAGAGCAGGTGCTTCCTAAAGGCTGAAGTCACCCCAGATCGGCAGGCACGATCCTGTGCAAACCCTCAAGCCCGAGAGAAAGAGAGAGAGACAGAGAGACAGAGAGAGAGAAGAGAGGGGGAGAGGGAGGAGAGGGAGAGAGGGAGAAAGGGAGAGAGAGGGAGACAGAGACAGAGACAAAGAGAGGGAGGGAGAGAGAGGAGAGAGAGAAAGAGGGAGACAGAGAAAGGGAGGGAGAGAAGAGAGAGAGAGAAAGGAAGAGGGAGAGATAGAGGGAGAGAGAGAAGGGGGGGAGACAGAAGAGAGAAAGAGGGAGACAGAGAGAGGGAGGGAGAGGAGAGGAGAGAGAGACAGAGAGAGAGAGAGAGAGAGAGAGAGAGAGAGAGAGAGGGAGAGAGAGAGAGACAGAGACAGAGACAAAGAGAGGGAGGGAGAGAGAGGAGAGAGAGAAAGAGGGAGACAGAGAAAGGGAGGGAGAGAAGAGAGAGAGAGAAAGGAAGAGGGAGAGATAGAGGGAGAGAGAGAAGGGGGGGAGACAGAAGAGAGAAAGAGGGAGACAGAGAGAGGGAGGGAGAGGAGAGGAGAGAGAGACAGAGAAAGAGAGAGAGAGAGAGAGAGAGAGAGAGAGAGAGAGAGAGAGAGAGAGAGAGAGAGAGAGAGAGAGAGAGAGAGAGAAGCATCGAGGACAGGAAGAACGCTCCCAGACGTGTCCCCTGTCAGGCCAGCAGAGGGAGCGGGGCAGGCCAGGAGCAAGGAGAGGCCCCGGCAAAGCCTCGCCTGAGAGACTTCCGGGTACGGGAACCAAGGCTTCCAGCCCTTCCTGAAGCCTAAGCTGCAGTTCCGTGACTCACCGAGAGCCTCCTTAAAATGTACACAAGAAGCCCCCCAAACTCTGTGTTTCAGACTCCAGCCACTAACAAGGAAGGCCCCTTGGCCTCTCAGGAGCTGCCTGATCAGTCAGTCCCCAGTAACTGCAGATTCTGGTCAATATCCCTTAGAAGGTCTGAGCTGGGAGGGAGCTTAGAGCAGGGGATGTCAGGCTGGGAGGGAGCTTAGAGCAGGGGTGTCAAGGCTGGGACAGACCCCTTGGAATCCAGGGCTGAGCTGGAGGAGGCCACCAACTTCCCCCTCGTCCATGAGGCCTGCCTCTTTCCCTGAACGACCTTCACATCAAACGAAGTCCTTCGCACGCTCTCTAGGTGTCGAACTTGCCTCACTATGCACACTTGAGGCTCCCCATCAGCAGACACTTCTAGACTCTGGATAACTGTCACCACCCTCCCTCAAAAAACCTCCAGTGGACGCCTCATGCTATAAGCCTTTAGGTTTGTCGTTCGAAGCCCTCACAGGGAGCACTTCATGACTGATCACCTGGTGCCGCCCCTCCTCCTTGTCATCTTCCCTCCTCCCTCCCTCCTTCCAGTCCCAGGATTAAGGCCTTCTCTTCCCCATGCTTTTGTCCTCACCCGCCAAATCACTACCCATCCCTTAAAGCTCAGTGTCTCCACCCTCTCCCTGATGCCCAGAGGCCCCTGAGACTCTGGTTACGTGGGTCAGTATCGCCCCTGAATTTGGCAGCCAGCTACCCAAGCAGAAGCGTGGGGCCATATCTGAACCTGGCACCTCCCCCCTCATCTAAGCCAACATCCAGCATGCAGCAGGCACTTAGGGAGCCTTGCTCCATCCCTCCTCACATCCTGCAGAACAGGCGAGATGTGCTCCTTAGGGCCACTGGTAATCACAAGCTGGTGGTCCCTACCCCTCCTGGGGATACAGCACAGTGACCCTGGCCAACTCTCCGAGCCTCAGCCCTCTCCAGTTTAAAATGAGGGGCGAGGTCTCTAAGCCTCCAGAAGAGGGTCCAGGGCATTCCAGCGGCCCCAAAGAGCTCACAGCCTTGCTTCCGCCTCAGTATCCCCAGCACCACGCCCCTGCCATACGGCAGGTACTCAGTAAAAGCAGGTATCAGGATATAGGAAGGCTGGGCCAGGACACGGTGGAGACATGGGAAGGGGAGACCACAGAAGGGACGCTAACGATCCTAACCTTAATGTGGAAATCCACCGGGAGGGTCCGGGCTCCCACCAGCCGCTTCATAAGGTAACTCCTCCAGTCTGTGTACTTCGCGTGAATGGCTGTGGAGACGGAGGTCCAGAGGAAGGCTTACTATGCACTGCTGACCACGAACCATGCCCCAGAGCCCCCTTCCCACAAGGGCCCACACTCACTCTGTGGGGGCACCAAGATTTTGCTATTGATCGCACACCAGCCGATGGGGTGCACGTCCACGGTGCCCAGGTTACACCAGAAGTCATGGCTGGAGTCATTCTCAAAGCCTTCGTACCGAAGGAGCACCCGGTAGCCTGCAGGGAGGGAGGAGACTGAGGGGGGCACTTGGAGACACTGGGCTCCCCCTTCTGCCTGGCCTCTTCCCTAAGGCCTCCTCCGTCTAAGCCAAAGGCTCCTGGGCCAGCCTCTGCCAGGGGGCGAGTCCTCACCTTAACCTCTGACACACACCTACCACTACCGGCCCCCCTCCATGATCCCAAACCCAAGTGCAATAACTGTACCCCAGAGAGAGAAGGAAACTGGAGCTCGGGCCCAGAGCCAGCTCTGCCACTGGCCACCACAATCCCCAGGCTTGGCGACCTGAACCACCAAATCAGTCGAACAGCTGGTCAGTGGCAGCACCTGAACTCAGGACCTCTGACCCAAGGGCTGGGCTCACCTGCTGTCTGGATGACGGAGGCAATCCAGTAGACGCGGCTGGGGAGCACAGCATCACTGTTCAGGACCTCCACCTTCATCCCTTTCACCACATCATCCCACTGATCAAACAGCGGAACCTGCGGGGAAGAGAAGGGGCCTCGTCCAGGCCCTGGCCCAAAGGCACCGGGTCCAGGAAGGCTCCTGGGTTGATCTTCCCCACCCCCACCCCGCCCCAACTCTAATCCCAGAGCTGGGCTGCAATCATTTGGAGGAAAGATGGATTGACTCAGGAAAACATCTGGGATGAAAGGAGTTTTTTCTTCTCCCCTCCTAAGGTGTGAGCTCCAGGAGGCAAAGACCCCATCTTATGTAACTGGCGTGGCTCCCAAGGCTGGGGGAGAGGTGCTCTGCAGCCAATGGTCATCCGTGTTTAGGGAGATGAAATTCCACTCAGTCCCAGAAGGGGACAACCAGGCCCCACTGGAAGAGGTGACAGGGAGGCAGATTTCTGCTCACTAGAAGAAAGTTTTTCAAAATGTGGGCTAGGAAGAGCTCTGCTCTGGGAGCTGGGCCCAAGCAGCACGGACAGTCTCAGGGGCCTTAGAGGCGTCCAGTCCAACACCTGCATTTTACAGGGAGAAAACGGAAGCCAAGAGAGGGACCTCCTCAGAGCTCGAGGGAGGGAGTGTGAGGGAGGCGGGGGCAGTGCAGAGCCTGGCATGGGTGGGCAAATGCTCCTTTCCTCCGCCCTGAGCTGAGGGCTTCTTGGCCTTTCTTTTAGCTCTGGAGATAAGCAAAGTAGGTGCCCGGTCCATCCATCACCAGGCCTCAAAGGAGGCTTCTGGTTGGCTGGCCTCCTCAGAGCGCAGACTGGCAGGGGTGGGGAACCTGTGAGCTCCAGGCTGAATCCATACTTCACAGAACCAAGGATCTATTGTGTCAAAGGCCGCACCTGAGGACCACACATGGCCTCGAGGCTGCAGGTCCCCCAGCCTGGCCTAGGGTGGCCTGCCCTTGTGCAGGGCCCTACACAGGCCCAAATCCCAGACTTGGAGGTAGAGGTCTTGGGTTCAAAGCCTGGTTCTGCCACTTCCGATGTCTGTGAGCCACAGTAAGGTTGTAAGAACTGGGGGATCCCTCAGGCCCCAAGGCCTAGTCTGGTTCTCAGGGCTACTTAGGGCTTTTCTAATATTCAATTTTGAAAAATGGTTTTCTCCTGAGCAGGAATCAGCCTCTGGCTATCCTCCTACTCCTCATTCTCCCCTCGGGGCTCAAGCAGAACCCAGAGCACCTCGAGCCTCAGGATAACAGCTGGGTGGCCCGTGTGCCGACATTCCCCAGGCTACAGCAGTTCACCCCAAGTACACTCCAGCCCCTACACTGCACTCACTGTGGTTCCACACACAGACAGAGACACAGACACACACACACACACCCCCCCCTTCCCATCTCTTTCTAACTTGACCTCAGGAGGTCTTCCCAGACCCTCCCCAGTGATCTGCCCCACCTCCTCCACAGGCACCATCAGCCTTCCTTACTGATTCCCCTGGCACCAGATGTCTCTCTACTCCCACTATCATTTAGCACAGTGCCTGGCACACAGAATGCACTTAATGAAGGCTTACTGTCTGACCTTGAAAGGGAGATTTACCACGGTCCCCCAGGTATCCCACAGCACTAAGGTTTGCAACAAAATAATTCCGGCAATCAGAGGGAGGAGAGACCTTGGCCCACATTCAATCTTTCAAATGACAACTGCCTACTAAGTGTTAGCCCTGGGGGTACAAAGGAAACCCTTCCTTTCTTCCGTCCAGGACAAGAATGAGGCTGCATAAGGGCCGATCAGAACAGCAGGAGGTGATAGGTAGATAAGAAGAAACCTTCAGGCACATCTTGTCCCCAAAGCTTTCAGGAGGAGTCAAGGCCGCAGTGGGAAAGGAGAAGAGGTAAGCTCCCAGGGCAGAGGGCGAATGGGGAGATAAGAAAGGGCAGGTCGGGCTCCACAAGGCAACAGTATAGCTAGATCCCCACCCTGGCCTGCCCTTCCTCCTTCCTTCCCTCGCCCCCTCCCACCGGCCCCCCTGAGGCTGCATGGTCAGGCACCCAGGAGGTCTCTCAGAAAACCCCTCAGCCATGACCCCATTTCTGCGGGCAGCTTGATGGCCTGGTGTTGAGAAGGAGAGGGAGGGAGAGGGAAGAAAGAGAAGGGAGAGACGGGGTGGGGAGAAAGGAGAAAGGGGAGAGAGACAGAGACCATAAGCATTGGTCTGGGGAGTAGGCAAAACCTGAATTCAAATCTTGCCTCAGTCTCCTCACTGCGTGCCTCTTCAGGCCTCAGTCTCCTCCTCTAACATAGCGGGGGTTGGACTAGATGGCCTCTCTAGAACTATGTTCCTAGAAGACCCCAAAAGTCTTTTCCCATTTGTAAAATAGAGCCAGTGTGGCCCTTAGCTAACATGGTGTAGTGAAGGTCCAAGGAGCTGGGAAAGATACATAGAGAGCTTTGCCAACCTGAGCCCCAGGTAAATGTCAGAGACTACCTGTGGGGATGCTGCTTAATACTGGCTGAAGCAATTCTTAAGTGCTGACTGTGTATAGTCACCTCACTGCTAGAACCTTCCCTGGGAGGCATCTCCCCATTAGACTGGGAGCTCACGGAGGGCAGGGGATCTTTAACCCTTCTTTGGGCGCCAGGGCTGGCCCAAGTAGCCGACCATAGCAGCCAGGAACCACAGGGAGACAAAAACTGAAAAGGTCTCAACCAATCCCTGACCCCAAAGAGGAGGCTCCCAAGGTCACAGGGTGAGTGCACAGCCAAACCAGGACAGTGCTCATGTCCAGGCCTGGAGGAAGAGACCAAGGCCAAGGAGAACAGGGCAGAGACCACCCCACCCCGGCCCCAGCAGAGGCTCCATGTTTGTGGGGCAGGGCCAGCCAGAACCACCCCAAGCCCAGGACCAGAGCTCCTCAGTCCAGGGGCCACAAGGGGCAGCCAGAAACACTCTTCTTCCCTGCCCACCCCAAGCCAAGACAGGCCCAGGTTCTTACATGTTTGAAGCAGCTGACTGGGGCCGCCTTGTAATTGTGTTCCTTTAGGAATTTCCCCCAGTCAAAGCCCAGGACCAGAGCTGCAAGGGTGTGAGAAAACAGAGAAAGGAGGGGGATGCAGGAGCTGTGGTGGGGCAGGCCCCTGCAGCCCCTGATCCCCACCTGCATACCTGGCCCACCCACTGCCATGAGGAAGGACAGGTCTAGCCTCAGAAGGCCTTCCAGGACGGTAGAGGTGGAGGTGGAAGCCCAAGGTCTGTGGGCTGCTCCTAGATAGCCAGCCCCCTCCTCCACATCCAGGGATCTGGCCTGGGGGAAGCCGCTGCCCCTGCCCCAGCCCCAGCCTCCAGAAACCACTCCCATAGATTCAGAGCCAGAAGCCAAGGACGCCAAGCCCCCTAGGCCAGGGGTCCGTGAACTTGTTTTAAAACTTATTTTGATAATTTATTACATAGTAATTGACTTCCTACATAATCCTATATATCTGACTTCATTCATGATGCTGAGAAGGGGTCCAGAGGCTTCCCCAGACAGGCTGCCAGGGAGGGGGGCCCAGACACCCTCAGCCTAGGTGGTAGCAGGACCTTGGGCAGGGGACTGAACTCTGGGCCACGCCTAAAGGCTTTTATTCAATTTAACAGACACTAATTAATTGTCAGCTATCTCCAGGACCCTAGGCCAGGGCTGGGGAATCACCCTTGGCCCTGCTCCGAGGCCCTTACTCCACCAGGTTCCTGGGGGAGGCTAGTCTTCCCTTGCCCTGAGCCAGGCACTTTGTTTTCTGAACCCCAACCCTCCCCACTCCGTGGCAGACAGGGGTTTTTGAATGCATAAAATGATATATTTTCTTGGAGAAAGTCTCTGCCCAATCTTGGGGGGGGGTGCGTGCGCGCGCGTGTGCATATACACGTGCATCCAGGGGAACCCTTCTGAGCTGGGCCTTGAAGGAACCTTGGGCTTAGAGGGATAAGGCAGTGACTGGGCTTCAGAGGGCAATCAGATGATGTGTGGGCGGGGGGAGGGGGGAGGAAGCATCTCTGGGTCTTATTTCTCTTCCTTCTTTACACTCTATTACAAGGGATGGTTCAAAAGGCAGAGGAGTTCTAGCTGTGTGACCCTGGGCCAGTCACTTAACCCCAACTGCCTAAAAAAAAAAAAAGGCAGAGCAGTGGGAAAAGAGCTATTTGGAAATAAAGGTGATGCAAAAATAAAAAATTCCCCATAATACAGCCAGGCTGGGAGGAGACGGAGACCGCTAAGGAGTTCCATTCTAGACTGGCTGTGTGCTGCCTGACAGCCCCGAGTCTAACACTGCAAGATTCTCCCCTCCACTGACCTCACCCCATCTGGATCCTTGGCTCACCCGAACGCACAGCCCCCACCCCACCTGGCCCAATCCCAAGGACACCCCATCCTCACCGTCCTGCCCGGTCGGGGTTCCATCTGCGAGCTGCCCCGTTCCCTGGGAGTGGAGGAAGGCGCCGATCTTGGCAGACCAAGCGGCCTTATGAAGGACCTTGGCCTTCTTGGTGGGCGGCTTCCCCTGGAGGAGGGCAGAGAAAGCAGGGTCCCCTGGTGGCTCAGTTCAGGAAGCACTGATGTGGGTGCTGGGCACTGGGGGCACACAGAATCCCTGCCCCTAGGGAGTACACATACAACTGGGAAGGGGGGTGCTGTGGAAGGAGAACTGGGCAAGTGGAGAAGAGTCCTCGCCGAGCTGGAGAGAGACTGAGGACACCAAAGGCCAGCCCCTCAGCTTATAGAGGAGACAATTAAGGCCCAGAAAGGCTGCACAGAGACAAAAGGCAGAGCCGTGCAAGATGCCTGTCTAGGCCTCTCTTGGCCCAGCAGAAGTCCTGTACTTAGCTACCAGAGACTTGGGTTCAACATCTGTCTCCACTGATTCTTGCCTCAGTGACCTTGGGCCTTTCTGTAAAATGAGGGCAGCCAGGCTGAAGGACTCATTCAGAGCAGGTGACACTGGAGGCCGAGGGGACACGCCTGAGGGGCACCACCACCCACCAGAAGCAGGCCTGATGTTTTGGTCTGTTTTGCCCACCCTTTCCCCTTCTCAGTCCCAGACCCAGGAGCTCAAAGTCCTAAGGACCCTGGGAGTCAGGATTCCAGGCTGGGGAAGGTGGGAGAAGCCAGGGGCTGGGGATGCTAGCCCAGGCAGGCTTAGGATGGATGAATGAATCAAACTGTGAACCCTGCCCCTCCCCTGCCCCCCCCAGACACCAAAGCTGGGAGAAGGGGGCTAATGCTACTGAGGTGCTGAGGGAAATGTCTGACCTTGCTATATCTTCAAAGTCAATATTTCTTTGTAAAAGCCAGGAAAAAAGAATTAAAAAAAAAAAGATGTTGGGCTTGTAAGATGGAGTTCATCTGGCTCCAAAACCTCAGATCCTCTGGGTCCCACCCAGGCCTGGGCTCAGACTGTCACTCTCCTCCCTGTATCCCCAGCACTGTGTGCGGCCTTTTGGACATAAGCACTTACTAAATACTCTATTAATTCATCCATTCACAGAATCAGGAGCCCTGAATCACCCCACTTCACCCCTGAGCAGCTAAATGACCCTGAGTGAGCTCCTCAACTGCTACGGGCCTCAGTTTTCTTACTTGTAAAATGACCATAATCCTCCCCTGCCTCTCTCAGGCAGGGAGGGATCGTGGTGGGGAAAGAACCTTCTAACTCTTCATATGTTAAAGAAATGTGTTATGGTGAAGCCTTCCCTGACCACACCAGACCCCACAGACCTCTCGGAATTCCCAGGGCACATAGACGGTCACATACAACATACTGTTTGGTACTATAATGTCTCACGAGTTGAGTGGCCCAGACCTGGAGGTCAAGAGGAACTCAGGACTTTGAGCTCCCTAGTCTGGATCTCTAATCCAGTGCCAGACAATTACTAAGCTGTGTGACCCTGGGCTTGTCACTTAACTGCTGTCTGCCTCAGCTTACCCAACTGTAAAGTGGGAATAACATCAGCATTTGCCTCTCAGGGTGGTCGTGAGGAGCATGTTTAAGGCACAATGCCTGGCACACAGTAGGTGCTGACTAAATGCTTGCTCCTGTCCCCCTGCTCACCTCCTCCCAACATCTGCCAGTCCTGCTTCTCCCACTAAATTCCGGCTGTGGGCAGGGGGACTATCGGCCCGGGATGCTCCATGTGCCACCAGCGTCCAGGGCAGCCCCCGGCCAGTAAGTCTGGAGCCAGAGGCCAGATGTGGACTAGACTCCAAAGAAGCCAGGAGAGACCCGGCCCTACTCTACAAATGAGTGAAACGAAACCCAGACAGATCAAGTCAGTGCCCAGGGTGCTCTGCCAGTGACGCTGAGATCTCTCTCGGCCTCAGCTTCCTCATCTGGAAAATGAGGGCTTGGATTAAATGACCTCTACTAAGGCCCACGAGGACAAGTGAGCTGCCCAAAGTCACACAGAGAATTGGAGGCAGGCAGACCAGCACCAGGCTCCTAGGTGCCATCCACTACACTGGGTCCAGGAGACCACCGACGTCAGTGACTTGGGAAACTCCCTTTACCATCTCAGAGCCCCAGGTCCTGTAAAGTCCACGGGATGCTCTCCACTGATGAAATGTAAGCTCCCAGAAGGCAAGCCCCGCCTCATTTCTCTCATCGTATCCCCAGAACCTGGCACCCAATGCACAAGCGCCCCAGGGATAGGGATCTCTGGGCTTTGCTCAGCAGTCGTCCAGGGCCCATCACCAGCCGGACAGCCTCCCAACAGCCCAAACCTGTGCAGGCCATCTCAGTCTCACCTGCAACCTTGCCAAGATACTGGCTTTCTTGGAGTTGGAGGAGTAGCTGCGGGAGCAGGAGACGCTGCAGAAGCGCTTCGTCTTGGAGAAGAAGGCCTCTCGTGTGCCGACGATGCCACACATCTCACAGACGGCTAGAGAGAAGGGGAGAGAAAACAGGGAATGTGACCCAGCCAACCCCATCACCAGGAGCTAAACGACGGGAGTCCTTCCGAGCCAGCTGATTAAAGCAGCTCAAGTCCACCACAGGACAGTTAGAATCCAAACAGGGAAAGAATGCCAAGCCCTGCCACGATCCTTCAGGCCAGAATGCCCTGTGAGACCCAGGGAAGGGGTGGAGACAGACGGAGGAGCCGACCACGGTGGGACGGCGGGTGAAGCAATGCACCTCTCCCCACCCCTGCTGCCTCAAGGGCCCAGGCAGAGGCGAGACCATGTCAGGAAGGGCCCAAGAGATGCCAAGCCACACCTCCCTCTGCTGAGCAGAGAGTGGGGGCTGTGACAGCAGAATGTGGCATCAGAGACTCCCACTGGACCAGTTTTCTTTGGGATGGGGGGGTGGGGAGAAACATAACAGATTGTACACAGATGATGAGTGTGGCCAGCTGACCAGGAAGGCCTCCAGACTGTGGAGGGACCTTTCGGGAGCACAAGGCAGGGAGGAGCTGGCTGCAGTCTGCATCACGGAACTTCCAAATCAGAGCGATCACAGATCGCCGAAGCGTCCGAGCAAAGAGCGGGATCAGAGCACCTCTAACGGGGCAGCAGAGGATGCTAGCTAGAGCCCTGCTCTGGAAACGAGAAGACCTGCGTTCAAGTCTCGCCTTGGACGCGCTGTGTGACCTTGGCCTGCCTGGGGCACAAGGACCTCCAGGTCTGTGCCAGCCAAAGTCCAACACACTTAGAGCTGGAAGAGACCTTGGTGGCTCTGAGTCCGACCCCCCTCATGTTACAGATGAGGACACTGAGGCTGAGGGAGAAGGGACCTGCCCAAGGCCACACAGCTACCAAGTGGAAAAGGCGAGGACATGAACCCAGGCCCTTCTGCACTGGACTCCTCAGTATTCTGCTAAGCGGCAGAGCTCGGATTTGAACCCAGGCACAGGGCTCTTTACACTGACTCTCTCATGCAGGGCATAAGGCCTCATCCATACACAGAAACGAATGGCTATTCACGTGGGTCGGGTTCAAGGAGGAGCCAGAGGCTTCTGGACTAGACAGATCAATGAGCATATGAAATGTGCTCAAAATCCCTAACAAGAGAAATGCCAGTTCAGCTGGGGCCAGAACGCTGGGCCTAGTCCCCAGCCCAGCCTCCTCTGCCGCCCCTCCAGCTTCACTAGATGCACTTCCTGCTCTGAGATTGCCCATCACAGGGGTCTAGTAGCAGCACTGCTGGGCTGGGAGATTCCTGATCTCTGAGGCACGGGCACGTGCCTCAGACCTCGGATGGCAGATGGGACGACCCCTTTCCTTCCCAGCCAGAGGAGCCCTGGGAAGCACCTGGCTCAGAACCGCTGCCGTCCTGGGAGCGAGGGGTGGTGGGGCTGGGCATCAGCATGGGAGACGTGGGGAGCTCCCCGGCTTCGCGGTCATGAAGCTCATTTTCGTTGTCACTCGACTCTTCCAGGTAGGAGCTGCTCTCACTGTCCAGGCTGCTGTTATAGCCTCGGAAGCTGTCATAGCCTCCAAAGAGGTCTAGCTCCTCTTCCTCCTCCTCCTCCTCCTCCTCCTCCTCCTCTTCTTCTTCATCCTCCATCCTCTCTGAGGAGGGAGTCTCCTGGTGGGAAAATAACAGAAGCTGAGGATGGGAGCCTGTGGTTCTTCCCATTAGACTATGAGCTCCTTCAGGGCAGGGACTGTCTTTGGCCTTTCTTTGAAATCCACAGTTTAGCACAGGGCCTGGCGCAGAGTAGGTGCTCAACAAATGCCTGGGTGTGGCAGGGAGGGAGGAGGGTTAGAGATAATCCCAAGGTGAATAGGAAGGTTAGAGACCTGGTACATCCCCAGTGCTGGGTCTCTGCACAACACATCGGGTTACTCCGCCAAGAACCCTCTCAAAGGGACCAGGAATACTGTCTAATACAGTCACTAGAAAAGGTGTTTTTTTTCTTTCTGAGAAGGGAGGGTTCACCTTGGAAGAAGGGGATAATGGGGACATTTCCAGAAATGATGGTGATGTGACAATAAAAGGCATTGATAACACATACATTTTTAAAAAGGTACCAGGACCATTAACATTCCCTCTGCCCCTACCCCCAACTCAACAGCTGAGTTAACAAGTTAGGTCAGCCAGCATGGATTAAGTCCCTACTATGTACCAGGAGCTGTGCTAAGCACCAGAGGTCTAAGAAATGATTAATGGAACCAAAAGATTAGAAGCAGGCCCACCCGTGTGTGTGTGTGTGTGTGTGTGTGGTGTGTGTGTGTGTGTGTGTGTGTGTGTGTGTTTGTGTGTGTCTACACACATAGGTATTTGTGTGGGCATGCTTCACCAAACACTGTCTAAACCTAAGCGTACTCAGAAACCAACATGAAGGGAGGGGAGGGGAGGGGACAAACTGGGCCTTTCCATGGGCATTGCATGGCAATGGGAGAGGATGGGAAAGGACATGGATCCATTCCCCAAGAGATAAGATCAACATTAAATTAAATAATTAATACAATTAATAACATAATCAATAATAAATTAAATAATTTAAAATAAATTAAATTAAATCAATATTAAAAGAGCTCAAAATCACTAATAAGAGACATTCCAATGCAAGTAACTATTACTGCACCTCAAACTCGTCAAACGGGCAAAGATGAAAAAAGAAGAGACGAGCCCATGCTGGAGGGGCTGGGGGAAGCCAGGCAGCCCAAAACACTACCGCAGTTGCTGCTCTGGAAGACAAGTTCAGATTAGGCGACCAAAGCCGCAACCCCTGACTCAGGCCTCCCATTACTGCACAGGCCCCCCCAGGGCGTGGACCACAGAAAAGAAGTGCCTCATATAATAAAAGAATCACAATGGCGCTCCTTCTGGAAGCGTGTCGGTGCCCAAGGGTGGGGTGGCAGAGCCCAAGGCGTCCTGGGCATGGCAAAGCGTCACGAAAAATGACACAGACTGGTAGGAACTGGGGCAGCACAGAGGGCCTGCCCAGAGGCTGACGCGCAGACAGAGGGAGGGCCCCAAGATAAGAGGAAATGACCCTAAAGACCCCCACGATGAAGCCAGCCGCCTGAGGACAACGCTTCCCTGTCTCTCCCCAGCAGTCAGCGGGCTAACTCCTGACTCCCGATATGGGACGAGGCAAGTGCCCCTGTATGTCTGAGGGTTTTGCTCTTTACCAACCATCAAGGATGCTGTTGGACGGTGACTCAGGCAAATATATTTTTAAGGCAAAAAAGGGTGAATTAGACAAGAGTACCACCGGTGCAGGGATCTAAGACTTGGAACTTGGACTGTACCTGGAAAGCTTTCTGGGGAAGCAGGTGAATATCAAGAAATCCCCAATCCCCTCCAGTTCTTAGAGAGAGAATAATTAGCATTTATCCACTTACAGAGACAACTAGGTATGTCTAGAGAGATTCCAAGCGACAGCAGGGGTGGGAAGGGGTCTAAGTCACAGAGCCTCAGGCTGGGGACAGAAGACCTCGCAATTAGCTGGTCTTTTTGTCTCTAGCACAGACCAGGTGCTTAATAAATAGTGATTGATTGACTGCTTGGGACTTCCTCCAGCTCTTCTTCCCTCTACGAGTATGACCATACACATAATACTATGTATAATAACTTATCGTCCTGTTGCTTTTTGAAGCAACGTTTGTAGGCCCATCAGATAGCAATAGGAACTTGGTCCCATGCGCCGATCAATGGGAGTCAATGAAGATTTTGTCGATGCATACATGAAAGCAATAAAAAGAGGCAGCCCTGGTAGGGGGGAGGAGGGGGTAGCTGGGCTCTCAGTCAGGAAGTCAAGTCAAGCAGCATTCATTAAGCACTTACTGTATGCCAGGCCCCAAGTCCCAGCTCTGACTGTGTGACCTTGGGTAAGTCACTTAACCTCTACGCTGGGTTCTGAACCCGTCCCCGAACTCGCTCTGCTAAGTATTTGGGAAGCTCTTTCGAGAGGATGGGTTTCCTGTTGCAGTTAAAAGGCGGACTCGGAGACGGGAGCCCTGGGCTTCCCCAGGCTGACTGCCCAAGGGGTCCAGGGCATGACCACCGAGAAGCCTGCACAGGGGGTGGGGAGGTTGCCAACCAGCATGGGTGGAGGGAGTTTCCTCCCCGGGAGCTCCCTCTGCTAAGGAAGTCGGGGCCACCTAACCCTGGACACCTCAAGGGCCCGAGTCCAAACTTACTACCGGGGACCCCATGGCAAGTCCCTTCGCCTCTCTGGGCCTCAGGTTCCCCATCTGTAAAACCAGGTTAGGGCTGGTTGGCCTGTGAGATCACTCGTAGCTGCGTGCTGCCAGTATTCCTGCGGTGTGTGCACGCAAGTGTTCTGTGTCTCGTCTCTGCGCCTGCGCATGCCTCAGTTTACCACCCGTTAAAGGGACAAAGCTTCCCCTCCCCCGCCCGTCCCACCCCCGTGAAGGGGATCCTCCCCGGCCCGGCCCGACCACGAGGGGTGTTTGGGGCCCTCTGGGCCGCGCCCCCGATCAGAACACGCTCACCTCGAGGCCCCGCTCCATGAGGCCGCCTAGGCCGCGAAGCCCGAAGCGCGAAGCCCGAAGCCCGAAGCCCGAAGCCCGAAGCCCGAAGCCCGAAGCCCGAAGCCCGAAGCCCTCACCGCCAGCCCGCCGCCGCCATGGCCACCGCGCCTTCCGCCCGCACGAAGCCCATTGGTCGTTGTCCCGCGGCGCCCGGCCAATCGCCGCAGAGAGCAGCAGGAAGGTCCGCCCACATCCTGGCACGTACTCAGCGGGGCCGCTAAGCCATGTGGGGGATGTAGTCCTGGGAGGGAGAAGGGAAGGAGGCGGGAGAGAGCCGAGAGGAGACAGGCTGATGATGAAGCTTTCAGTCTTAGGGTTATGGCTGAAAGAGATCTCAGGGGCCGTGTAGGCCAGCCCACTCATTATGCAGAGGGAGAAACTGAGGCCTAGAGAGCTGAAGGGATCCTAGGGCTTGAGCTGGAAGGGACCTCAAAGTCTGTCTAGGCCAGCCCCCCTCATTACACAAAAGGGGAAACTAAGACCCAGAAAAGTGATAGGATTCTAGAAATAGAGCTGAAAGAGATTTCAGAAGCCAGTCTAGACCAGCCCCTCATTGTGCAGAAGAAGAAACTGAGGTCCAAGAAGGTGATAGGATCTTAGAAGGGATCCCAGAGGCCATCTAGCTTTCTCATTTTACAGAAGAGGAAACTGAGGCCTAGGGAGGGAAAGGACTTGCCCAAGGTCACATGATTAGTAAACTCACAGCCAAGATTTAAAGTCATATGCTCTGACTCAAGATCAATTCATAGAATTACAGATTATAAATTACATGTAGATTAAAGAATTATAGATTACAGGGGCAGCTAGGTGGCACAGTGGTTAGAGCTCTGGCCTTGGAGTCAGGAAGACCTGAGTTCAAATCCAGCCTCAGACACTTGACACTTACTAGCTGTGTGACCCTGGGCAAGTCACTTAACCCCAATAGCCTCACCAAAAAGCAAAATAATAATAATTATAGATTACAGCTGGAAAGGATTTTAGACACCATCTAGTCCAACCCCCCCCTTCATTTTGCAGAAGAGGAAACCGAGGCATAGGATGAGAAATGGACTTGTCCTAGATAATGCGACTAATAAACTGCAGAGAAGAGGCTCAGAGCCAAGTCATCTGATTCCAAGTTCAGTGTTCTTTGCACTCTACCATTTGGATGCTGCATAGATTAGTCAGTGACAGCCCCCAGCACCACCACCAAGAAAATGAGCTCTGTAGCGGTTGTGTATTCCCAAGGCTTTGCATGTAGTATATAATTGCCTCTGCTTGTTGGCCTCTGCTCCTGCCCCTTCTCACTCACCTTCCAATGAAGAAACTCCCTCCACTCATGCAGATCTTTACCTTCTCTGCAGTTTACAGTGGTTGAAAGTTGTCTGGGGCAATAAGGTCAATGGATGTGTCTAGCATCATACAGACAGTATGGGGCAGAAACAGGGTTTGAACTCAGCTCTTTCTGACTCCCAAGACTATTCTCCAGCCACTAAGCCTGTTTGCCTCTCATAGTCTACCTGACTTGCCTGCTGAGTGCATCACCATCCTCCCATCCCTCAAGCTCCCCAATCTCAGAATCATCCTGGACTTTCTCACCACCTGCCATACCCAAGCTGTTGCCAAGCGCTGTCGATTTCACCTCTGCAGAATCTCTCCAATCATGCCCCCTTCTCTCCTCTGACACTGCCACCACTGTGGTGCAGATGCTTATCATCTCATACCTAGACTATTGCCATAGCTGCTGATGGGTGTCTGCCTCAAGTCTCTCCCCACTCCAATCCATTTTCAATTCAACCACTCAAGTGATTTTCCTAAAGCCCAGGTCTGCTCATGTCACACCCTACTCAATAAACCCCATTGGCTCCCTGATGCCTCCAAGCTCAGATCCGAAGTTTTCTTTTTGGCATTCAAAGACCTTCTTAACCTAGCCCCCTCCTGCCTTTTCAGCCTTCTCCCTGATACACACTCATTGACCGGATGACATTGGCCTCCTGGAATTCCTTGCACATGAACCTGCATCTCCAGACTCTGAGTATTTTCTCTGACTGTTGCCCCATGCCTGGAATGCTCTACCTCCTTGTCTCTGCCACCTGGCTTCCTTGGCTTCTTTCAGCGAAAATCTTGTCTTTTACAAGAAATCTTTCCCCATCCCCCTTACTGCTAGTGCCTTCCTTCTGTTGTCTAATCTTCAATTTATCCCATCTGTAGTTTGGCTGCTCATAATTAATTGTTTGCATGTTGTCTTCCCCATCAGACTGTGAGCTCCTTGAGGGCAGGGACTGTCTTTTATTTTTCTTTGTTTACCTACCATTGAGCACAGTGTCACAGTGCCAAATAGTAAGTAGTCGGCATTTAATATATACTTGTTGACCTGACTTGAAAATAGAAAGCTATCCAATGGTCTGTTTGCTCTCCAGGTAAAGTCCTCTTGATTAGACACAGAAGCAATCCAGGTACATCCTGTGCTGCCTGCCCTGTGCTGGGTGCCGCAAAGGGTCTACCTATGATCGTAGGATCACAGATTTAAAGCTGGAAGGGACAGTAGAAATCCTAGAATCCAACATCCTCTCTTTACAAGTAAGGAGGCCCAGGGTGATTAAGTCACTTGCCCAAGGTTACACAACTAGCGAGTGTCAAAGGTAGAATTTGAACACAGGTCTTCCTGGCTCCAAATGCAGTACCCTATTCACTATGCCAAATTGCTCTACAGTCTAAGTATTTGAGTTAGATTTTGAGGAATTAAAAAATGGAACCAAGAAGAAGAAGGGCATTTTAGGCACAAAAAAATAAGCTTGAGCAAAGGCCTAGAGGTAGGGAAGCACAGGAAAAGATCTATTCCCAATATATCCCATAGTCCAGATTGGCTAGAGCATAGAAAAAATAAATGGAAAAGTATGAGAAAAGACTAGAAATATAGAGTGAGGCCACAGCATAGGATCATAGAATTTGGTCCTTGAAGGGTCAGACCATCTTCCCCTAGTTATAACAGAAGACCACTGGGTCTTACCGTCCTCCCTGCTGCAGCAGCCTAATGAGACTTGCCTTCTGACCTGCAGCAGAACCTTCCTATCCTGTGCTTTCTACCCCCAGTTAGAATTGGAGATGTTTAAGAATGGGAACTGCCTCAATTTTCTCTTTGTATCCTTAGTATTTAGCACAATACATATTTTTCCATTTCAACTCCCTTCATTTTATAGAGGCTCAAAAGAAGGAAAATGATTTGTTCAATGTCACTGAGCCTTGCCCCTCTGATTCCACTAATACCTTCAGATTGTATGGCATAGTCCCTTCAACACACTTTGTGTGTCAGTCAAACTGGACTGACTGCCAAAGGAGAGAGGGTAAAAGGAGGAATGCACTAGTGTCTAAAAGAAGGAAGAAGGGAGAAATTATTATTTCACTTAATTGGGGGGGGGGTGAGAAGACCATACAAACATGGAGAAATGGGTGAGGGAAAAATGAAGATTGAAAACATACACACAGACTCAACACCACCTTATACACCCACCGTCTCAACCGGGGGAAAAAATAAGATGGAGGACATTAAGAGAGAGAATAATGTTGGGGAGGGGATAGTCACACACCAAATAAATATCCTCATCCTGCAGGGGGAAAGCAGAGGGGAGGAAGAAAAGAATAGATTCTAAAGGGGTGCATCAGATTGCCTCTTAGACAATTGGGGGAAAGCTAAACAAATTCCTGTTTAGGAATGGAATGGAATGGAATAGGAAATGAGCAAAGAGAGTCTCAGAGAATCCTGGATAGTACGACCTGATCCAAAATGAAGCGGGGTGAAGCGGGCAGAAACAAGAGAACAGTTGATAAAAGGACTACAGCTAGTTGTAAAGAAAAACAATTCTGCAACTTTGTATAACTTCAGAACTCTGACCTGGAGCACCAAAGTGGCACCGCAGGAGCTAGAGCTCAGAGCATGGAGTCAGGAAGACCTGAGTTCAAATCCAGCCTTAGACACTCACTAGCTATGTGACCCTGGGCAAGTCACTTCACCTGCCTCGGTTTCTTCATCTGTAAAACGGAGATAATGATAGCACCTACCTCCCATGGTTGTTGTGAGGATCAGGTAAGATAATATTTGTAGAGTATTTATCACAGTGCCTGGCACATAGTAAAAGAGTATATTTTTAATCTTCTTTTTCAATCAGGTCTGACTCTTTTGGGATTTTCTTGGCAAAGATACTGGAGTGGTTTGCCATTTCCTTCTCTAGCTCATTTTACAGAGATGAGGAAACTGAGGCAAACAGAAGTTAAGTGACTTGCCCAGGGTCACACAGCTAGTAAGTGTCTGAGGCTGAATTTGAACTCAGGTCTTCCTGACTCCAGGCTCAGGACTCTATCCAGTGCACCACCTAACTGTCTAAACACTATATAAATGCTAGGCATTATTATTATTACCCAAACACTGAGGCGCAGGGGGACATTCAATTACTCATCCTTGTCTGGTAAACAGGTCGGTTAAAGGCATCCCTCTTGATTGGCTGTGTAACATGATCTGGGGCCCTCAGGACAGGAGCCATGGCCATTTCCCCCATCAGCTACTTGACTCTTGCTGATGGCATCTCTCAAGATAATGCTGTCAGAGGAAAGGCCTTAAGTCTTGTCTCTGTCCAAACTAACATTGGACCCCTTGGAAACGAGCCCTGGTCCTTCTGCCTCCCCTTTTCTTTGCTATTTTAATTGAAGAATAGTCTGACTGTAGAGTTTCAAAAAGTCAGGAGAGCAAGCATCTCAGCGTCCTGGAACCTAAGCATCAGGGTTTTATAGTCAGCTCAGCTTTGAGGCCCTAAGGAGAAAGAAATGACCTGCAGAATGACCTTTGGGACCAGCCTAGCAGTAGCTGAGACACAACTCATCTAGCAGCAATGCCACGTTTAGATCCATCAATATTTATTAAGTGCCTACTATGTGTTAGGCACTATACTTTGGAATGTGAACGTGGTAGGACCCATGTTATGTAGAAACTGTGCTGAGTGAACCTTCTCTCTCCAAAGAGTGGGGTGGGATAGGGGAAAGTATGCCGCTGAGGTATTGGGGAAAATGTTTGTACATTGATTATAAATG